GTTGGTGTAGGTTTGCTGTCCAACTGGACACGGCCTGCAATCAAAACAAAAGACATGGTCACATATACATATATTTTAAAAATTATTTTGTATATATGATTTTCCTAGTTTTTGTCCTTGTTTTTCACTTCTGACTAAAGCCTTTAGCAAAATGAATTAGCATGTATGTATTGACTGAGATGTTCATAAAGACACTAGAGTAAGCTTGGAGCTCTAGAGCTGACTTTACAAGCCTTTATGTTGAACTTAGCAAGGGAGACTGAGAGACAGCTTAAAGGAAGTCATACCCTTTAAAGTGTTGCTATTTACACACAAACTTCCCATCTGTAAATACTGATCATGCTTTCAAGCCTTGTGTCCTGCAAGTATCACTTGTGACCTCTTGTGATGGATAAAAAGCTATTTCAGTTTGCATAAAACAACATGCAGGTCAGACTAAGGACAGAAGTGTTGAAAATGAGCGCAGACAGAATGTAGTGGCAAAACTTGTGCCTGTGATTTTGTTTATAATATGAGCCAGAGATCTGTATGTTTAAATTTACACTTTTTGCTTGTGTACCTGAGATCTATCTGATACTTTTGCCTCAACTTAAAAGAGAGGGGGAGGAAGGAAACACTTCCAAAACCTTCAGCAGACTTTTAAAAGGTTAAAGTAAGACTTTTGTACAGAATACGCTGTCATGTAGATACAAAAACTATGGAATGCCTGAGCCAAGGGAGACCTGGGAAAGATGTTTTACTTGTTCTTTTAAATCTGTTTAGCATGTTTCCAGCCTTGAGCTTTTCACTTCCACAGTAGCTTCATTCAGGTAAACAAACAAAAAAAGTGGTGTATGACAAACTGCCTGCTTGTTTTACACAGGCTAAGAATTGACTGTTCTCAAAGGGGGAATTGTCTTTTATCTTGTGAAGATGGATTGTTTTAAAGAAATTAAAACTCAGCTATGCACTGAGCTACACAGTGAGATCTGGCTACGTGTTCTTTGGATGTATTTTAATCTCATAACATTTCTAATAGGCCAAAGGACATGATACTTAGAAAATACCAACAGCACAAGAAACGCACGTGTATGCCTAACAGCATCCTGGGGAACAAAAACATACAACTACCACCAAGGAAAATAGTACACTTTACCGAAGCCAGGCTTGCTTGAAAAAGAGAATGCCAGGGGTTACAAATTGAAAACATTCAATGTCAGATGATGTTAGTGCCTCTTTGAGTGCCTGGACACTGGGGGTACTCTCAACGAAGGGGCAACACAGAAGAAAACGTCGGACCCTTCAGCCTGAGGGGTCCAAGCCCACGTGTGCTGCAGCTGCTCGGCCTGCACGTGGCTTCTACCATGTCAAGCATTCTAGTTTCACCTCAGTTAAATTACAAGTGTCAACATCTGCACCTTAGCAGTCCAGATTTCAGAAGTCTGTCAGTATATGGTTCATCTCTGAAAGTGAACACTGACTATAAATTTCGTTTATGCTTGCAGTAGTTACATTTTGAACTACCTGGCGCTTTGGCGGCAGGTTCCGAGTCATCTATCAGCTTTACGGTAAGAACACCGACCGCAGCGGTGCCGGCGCCTCCCAGCGACAGGGTTTCAGCCACGACAGCCACATCTGCGCTCCCTCCCGCCCCTGCACCGACAGCACAATTATCTCCAGCAGTAACCTGGAGTTCCAGTACTTTCGTTCCGGGTCCCCATGCAAATCGGTGTTTCCGCCTCTTCCCCCACCCCCCACTCTTTTGTTTCGCAGGCGGAGGAGGCCAAGCTCCCCCCCTCAGAGCGCAACAGCGGCCCCGCTCCCCGGGACTGGCCCGGGGCTCCCTCTCGCCGCTGCCCTCAGCCCGCAGAGACCCGTGGGGCAGGGAGCGTGCCGGCCGCTAACAGCCGCCCGCCTACCTGCCGCCCGCCGCCGCTCCGCGCCCGACATGTCGAGAGCCCGGCTCCGCGCCCGCCTTGTGCCGGCCCGGCCCGCCTCCTCCACGCTGCCTCCGGAGGAAACGGGGCGGGAGCAGCGCAGGCCGCGGGCCGTCCCAACGCGCCCCGAGGGCGCTCAAAGAAGCGCTTTCGCTTGGGCCAGCGCCGGAGTGGCGGCGCCTTGCTACCGGTGAGGCGCTGCGGTGCTGCTCAGGCGAGGCTCGGGGCTCTGCCAGGCGGCACAGGCGTGCACGGTTTCCCCTGCTGTAAGGCTTCTGTGAACCACATTCGCGAGTGAAGGCCTGACAGAGTTGAAAGCTCGCAGATTTGCAACCTCGGTCTGTTACTGCATGAGTACTCTTTGGTGAGCCTGTGACCAGAGCTCAGGTGCTGGGGAGAGCACCCAGAGAATGGCCTTGTGTGTGGGCAGCCTCGCCTTTTCATGGTCAACCGAAGAGCTCCCAGAGCACTGGTGGCTTGCCAATGTGACTCCCAGCTACAGGAAGGGTCCTTAAGAGATCTGAGGAACTACGAGCCTGCCAGCTTGACCTCGGTGCCAGGAAAGGTTATGGAGCAGATCACCTTGATGAGATCACGCAGCGTGTGCAAGACAACGGGGATGAGGCCTGACCAGCATGGGTTCACAGAAGGCAGGTACTGTTTGATCAACATGTTCTTCTATGATTGATGATGAGGTGGATGAGGGAAAGACTGTCGACTTAGTCTCCTCAGACTTTAGCAAAGCCTTTGGCACTCTCCAGCAGTATTCTCCTGGAGAAGCTGGCAGCCTGTGGCTTGGACAGGTACTCTCTTTGCTCTGGGTAAAGAACTGAGTGGAGGGCAGAGCCCGCAGAGTGGTGGTGAATGGAGTTGAATCCAGCTGTCAAGAGTGGTGTCCCCCAGGGGTCGACATTGGGGCCCGTCCTGGTCAGTATCTTGACTGATGACCTATGCACCCACAGTAAGTTTGCAGATGACACCAAGCTGGGAGTAAGTGTCAGTCTGCCTGGGGGTAAGAAGGCTCTACAAAGTACAGTGGATTGCAGGGCTGAGGTAACTGGGATGAAATTCAACAAGACCAAGTATCCGGTCAGCGTCACTTTGGTTGCAACAGCCCCAGGCAGCGCTTCAGGCTTGGGGCAGAGTGGCTGGAAGGCTGTAGGAGAAATGGACCCGAGGGTGTTGATCAGCGCTTGACTCAGCATGACCCAGCAGTGTGCCCAGGTGGAGAAGAAGGCCAGTGGCTTGTATCAGAAATAGCATTGCCAGCAGAAGCAGGAAGATGATTCTCTCTCTGTTCTCAGCACTGGTGAGGCTGCACCTCAAGTACTGTGTTCAGTTTTGGACCCCTCAATACAAGATAGTAAGGTCATGGAGTGTATCCAGAAAATGGCACTGAAGCTGTGATGGGTCTGGAGCATAGGTGTTACGGGAAGCAGCTAAGGGAACTTGGATTGTTCAGTCTGGAGGAGGCTCAGGGGAGACTTTATTACTCTCTACAACTACCTGAAAAAGAGGTTGTGGTGATGTGAGGGTTAGCTGCTTCTCCTGCATAACTAGGAATGGGGTGAGAGGGAACGTCCTCAAGTTGTGCCAGGCAAGATTCAGGTTGAATGTTGTTATGGTTAAAAAAAATTTCTTCCCTGAAAATGTGGTTAGGTGCTGGAATGGACTGTCGAGGGAGGTGGTTGAGTCACTGTCACTGGAGGTGTTCATGAACTGTGTAGATGTCGTACTGAGGGACATGGTTTAGTGGGGAAGCGTTGGTGGTAGGTGGATGGTTGGACTGAATGATCTTGGAGGTCTTTTCCAACCTTGGTGATTCTATGATTCTGTATCATGTATAAACGGAAGTCAGTGCCCAAACCCATCCTTCTGTACCTAAGCTCTGCAGGTCTGTAACGAGGACGGGTCTGAACTGTGTATCTGGCCCATTGCTTGGTGAGCTCTGGGGCATACTGACGTGTGAGGCAGCTCTCAGAGAGCAGCACTGCTATAGGCACAAGAGGGGGTGGCTCTAGATAGGGATTTTCAGTATTTTATCCAGTCTGACTTGTTTTACATGTTTGTTTACAAATAAGGAATTTTGGACACGGTGGCTTCCTTTTGGGTGATGGATCAATGAGTATTTCTCACTGCCTTCAGTGAGAAATATGTTTTTCCCATGTTTGGACTCGCTGTCCTGAACCCACTAGCAGCCAGCGAGATCAAGATAAAATTGTTTAAATTCTTTTTGTTTATTCAGACAAAACAAGATACAACTACTAGACTTCAGCGCCTTTCTCATGCTGTAAATCAGATTCTTACTAGCCAGATTTATTTATTTATTGCAAATTGTAGTTCTCTCAGCTGCTATTGGAGCTGCCCCTTACACTTTTTGGCTGCAGTAATTCTGTATGAAGGAGCAAGCGCAGAGCCCAGCCTGGGGCTCTGTAGCAGCAATCTGTTATGTAGCCCTAAGCAGGTAGCTTAGGTCTCAGTGTGTTAAATGACACTGCTAATGCACAGTGCAATGTCCCTGATTCATTTTAGGATCGTAGTTTAGGATTTAGCATTGTAAGGTGTGTTTGGTATAATTTGCAGGGAACTACAAGCAAGAATTCATGCAACGGACAAAACTTAGTCAAAGGCTCTCTGGAAGAAGATAAATGCTTCCACAACTACCAAAGTGTCATTTGTATTATTTAGCAGCATTAAGGCTCTTTTTAGTATTAAAAATGGTTTGAGGGAAGCTATGAAATGTTTTCACAGTGCATTTACAGGTAAATACATTAAGGAACAAAACACAGTGCTTTCCAACAGTGAAAATTTTTCTTCTATGTCCATTTAAGCATATAATTGAAGCTCACTTTTACTTGAATTACCTAACTAAATTATGACATTATGTTGGACTCACTGCATCAATGTTTTAATTTTAAACAATCAGGGTACTACAGAGCCACTTCAATTCTGTGACAAAATCTCCTTGTATTTAAAGGCACCACAAGTTGTTCAGACATAGTTTTGTAAAACTTGGCAGCCGTGTCCTGCCGTGTTATTTAATACCCACAAGTAGGAAAATAAAATCAGGAAGCATGGCCAAGGTACTTTGGCAGGAATTTTATTGTATAAGACACTTATATTGTGTCATGTACCATAAGCTTCAGTGAAAAAAAAAATACCACAAAAAAATAGTAAAGCAAAAACATATAAAAATACTTCCAGAAGAGAAATGGCATTGCAATCTGTGAGTTAAGTGAACTTTAAACTTTCTGCATAGTTTATTTTCCCTGCTCATGGATGCAGTACTTTGATTTTCAGTCATATTCTGTGGATTTCTAAGGCAAATCATGGCAGCAGGACATGACTCAATGCAAAAGTCAACTGAGGTCTGACAACTGGAGACTAGCAACAGAAAATCAGTACAGAGGGCAAACCCCAAATAATTCAGACATCAGATGATTTCAGCTAGAGCAGTATGGAAGAGATGACAGAAATAAAGGCTCAGATGTCTGTCAGCCTCACAGAGGTCATGGGAAAAGGTGACAGAAATAAAGGCTCAAATTTCTATCAGCATCACAGAGGGCATTTTAAATAAAAAGGTTTCTTGGGCTCACTGACCCTACCTGTGGAATCTTCTAATTTTCAATCAGAATGGACTAAATGAAAGCAAAGATGTATACAGTAGCTAAGTTGTGCCATGAGAAAAATATAAATCAACCTCTTTGAACAATATATCCTTTCTACACATATAATACACAATGCATTGTTTAATTTGAAAAATAAAGACTTGAATCCTTTCTAAACTTATGTAACATTACAACCACATTCCAGTATTCTGTCAAATCAGAAGTATATCCTTAGGTCACAAACTGTTCACTTTAGGAGTCAATCCTTAAAAGGATCAACATACTTATCTGAAGAGTGCTGAAGAAGTTAATTACTGGATCAGTTAGAAATATATAGTGCACATATATATCTTGCTTAGGGCTTTTTTCTTTGTTTTAAAACAAACCACAGGACAGAGTACATCAGAGAGATCTGAAGGTATCTATTCAAAGTGAAGGGCTATTCAAGGTGCTATTTTAACTGCAGAACTCTCTTATTGTTATCTATCAGATACATCAGCTGTGTGGAAACCTAGCACTTGGCCTATATTAGAAGTAATCCGAGATTCAACCCTTCTGCACCTCTGATTTCCCCCCATGCAGTTTCCTTTTTTTTTTTTTTTTTATAATTGAAAATAGCATTTGTGTTTTACAGTAGCATACCCTAAATGTACATACACTAGAAGAGTCTAAGTTCAGTTTCCAATTTGTAGTGTAAAGATAAGGAAGACTTAACACTTTTTTTTCTGTTTTCTAAACGCGAGGAAGAATAGTGTAGTGACTTTCAAACCAATACATTCATGTCAGTGTTTAATATAAGTCATTAAGGTTGGAAAAGACATCCAAGATCATCTAGTCCAACCATCAACCCACCACCACCTTGCCCACTAAACCATGTCCCTAAGTGCTGCATCTGCACATTTCCTGAAAACCTCCAGAACCCCTCCTGCCACCGCAGGGACAGCACTCATATGATGGTGTTCCCCCCCCAACCCTTCTTTCTTTCTCTCAACTTCCTCCTTCAGCCTGGCCTTGTACAGAAAGACAATGAAGGACAGTACTGGTAACACTCTAAAACAGTTTAACGACCACAAATCTGTCTCAAACTGGGAGGCTGAAAGAATGGATAGAAGGCACCTGGTTCAGCAGCTGAGTGCCAACTGAGCACGCGCCTAAAAACAAAGTATGACTATGAGTCATTCATCTTACCCCATAACTGGTGAGCAGCACAAACAGCTTTTCAGGCTCTCCTGTGTGGCACAGGGCTGCAGGGATAAGATCTCCCCTCAGGAGACATCTCAACTGTGAGGCTTGGTGCACTTGAGGCAATGACGCTGCTGGTGTATGACATCCTGTCTTGGTGCTGGCTACCTGCTTCTTTGCTGGAGCCTCCCAGAATGGCCAGAGCTGAAGATGGCCTCATATACACCAGGCAGCTAGGCAGCCCCAGAGCCAAGTGCCGGCATCAGTGCTGGCTGCCTCAGCTCTCACCACAGGCCTGGAGCCCAGCACTATGCTACCACAGCAGCCAGAACCCCCTCTCCAGATCCCACCTCCAGCAATGAGATGTGCCACCTCCTCAATGCCATCTTCCTCTTCAGGAAGCTCAGGGGCATGGCCCCAGTCAGAAACTGGGTGATGAATAAGATTAAGGCAGAGTTTGAGAAGCTGCTCCAGACCAAGTTGACAGGGAAGGTGCTGGAGGAGCTCAGCTTCAGGGACTCTATCTGGGCAATATCCTGCCCATCTTCAAAGCCAGCAGACTCATCTGGCTGCTGGTCGGCAATGAGGAGAGCTGCCCCGAAGAGCTGAGCTTCGAGTAGACCTGGAATACAGTGGCGACTTCCATCTGGCTGTTGACTCTGTCTTTGAGTCTTTGATAAGTCAGCCTGCCAATTCATCAAGATCTGGGTGATGGGGCTGAAGCTGGTCTTCATGCACCTACTCTTCGTGAATTGGTCCTTCTCTTTTATGGATGACTTCGTGATAGTCTCTTTTTTTTTTTTAAAAAGAGCATTTGTGTCAGGCCTGAGAAGCGTAAAACATTTGTTTCATTCCAGTTGTTTTACTTCATTCCTAACTGCTGGACATTCACACCTTTCAGAGATCTGTCTTATCCTCATAGCGACACATACATGAAGCTCTCTGGCTGTCAAGGTATGGCTTACATCCTAAGTGTATAACTGCATCAAACAACAGCTGAACGATTGATTCACAAGCTGCAAGCAAAGAGACATTCAGTTAGAAGTACTCTTTAGATAGAATACAAAACTAATAGGCATGACTGGCAAACTGAGAAGGATTTTGAAAAGCAATCTTTTCTGAGCATTGCAAACAGACTGTCAAAAGAAAAGAATAAACTGATATAGAATCAGCTAAATTGTGATTAAAGATTTTTCATGTACCAGTCACAACACTCAAGGTGATTCACTGGCTATGGAATGTTGTTGGTGTTAAAAGCATCACTCAGTCTTGGAAAGATGAAAGAACTGTTATACCTTTTACTTTCCCAATTTATCACGGAACCATAGAATGGCCTGGGTTGAAAGGGACCACAATGATTATCAAGTTTCAAACCCCTGCCGTGGGGCAGGGTCACCAACCACCAGACCAGGCTGCCTAGAGTCACATCTAGCCTGACCTTAAATGCCTCCAGGGATGGGGCATCCACAGCTTCCTTGGGAAACCTGTTCCAGTATGTCACCGCCCTCTGTGTGAAAAACTTCCTCCTAATATCTAACCTAAACCTCCCCCTTGTCTAATCGCTATCCACCCTCATAAACAGCCGTATTTATGCAAAGCTCCTTTAATAGGAGCTCAACAGAAATGAGTAAATAAATATTCACCAGTTCTGACAAAGCAGAAATACAGAAATATGATGACCTCTTTGCAGTTACATGAATCTGAGAAGTTCAAATACAGGCTTATTCTAAAAACTGATTGTTTTCAGTGGGACTCTTCACTGAAAAAGAACCACTGTCTAAATTGTGTGGTTATGTCATGTATTGATCAGATGCGGGCCAATAAACAGAAGAAATGCAATCACAGGATTATAGACTGTTCGGAAAACACCTAAAATATATGCACTAAGGGATAGTATTAAGGGATAGTATTCTACCATAATAATATATTATTTTAATACTTAATTTCACAAAAGGAAACAATTGAGTATTTTCCTACTGTTTATATGTAGTAGACCTCTAGAAATCAGTCAGCAGAACAGTCAGCATTTAGCTACACTACTGCAAATGCAACAATTATAGTGTGTTTTGATAATCCTAGAAGGGAAGCCTTATTTTTTCAGCTCAAGGTTAGTTTTAACTCTGGTAATTTTCCTATGCTGTGTAATTGCTCAGCTGCGTCTTGGCTGCATACAGAAGGAAAGAACAACAACAGCATCAGTTTATGGAAATGTAGCATTACTGTGCAGCAAAAAGATTCTTTGCCAGACAAGCTTAGTAAAACTTAGGGGCCAAAAAAAAAAAAAAAAAAAAAAAAAAAGGCATTTATCAGACTTACCCTGTACATTCTCTGATATACCAAGTGTTTTCTGCACATCTCTGCAAATTTTGGAGAGGCAGGACTGAAACTGCTCATCACAGTCATTTTTTTTATTGCCACAAGTATCATAACATCTATCGTGGTGATTGCAGCACTTTGTCATCAAAGGGATACCAATGTCAAACTGTGGGGAAAAATCCCACATGCACCATGAGTAATGTATAAGAGAAAAGAAGGAGTCTATGAATATGATAGAGTATAAAAGTTAGAAAACAAAAACTAAAGTAATCAGCAGCTGTCATTCACTTATCTCTATCGTTTGCTGTTCACTAAGCTGTGCTGGTTTGACCCCAGCTAGCAGCCAAATACCCACATAGTTGCCTGCTTAACCCCTGCCCCTCACAGGTCAGGGTAGACAACAGACAGGTCAAAAACAAGAAAACGCATAGTTCTAGACAGAAGTTTAATAAGTGAGCAGAAAAGGGAAAAGCCACTCAAAATAAGCCATGCAAAAGCAATCACTCACCAACCCCTCATGCCCAGCCTATCCCTCAGAAACACTCCCTCTCTGCCCCTTCTCTATCCACAACAGTTCTATTGCTGAGAGTGATGTTACATGGTAAGGAACATCCCTTTGGCTTCCGAGTCTGTCTCAACTCATCCCCTCCCAGCTCCTTGCCCACATATTATTGCCAAAGCATTGCCCGAGCTAACAAAAGCAGGGACATAGCACACAGGTGCTGTCTCATCCTTAGAAAGTGAGAGGAAAAACACCAACCAGCTCAAGGAAAGTCAGCATATGAAAAACCACACACACACACAGAAACCCCCAAATGGACTTACATGAACTCCAAATAGAGGTGATCCACAACCACTTGGCGGTGAAGGCTTATATCCATAGCGAGGAAAGGGCTTTGATCCTGAAAAAGATAGTTTCTAGTGCTTCAAAAAGTTTTTTTTCCAGATTTTTAGCACTGTCAAAACTCAGCGCAGGCATTCTAATGGGCCTGAGACAGCACCAGCTGCACATCTGATATAAGCACCTGAATGTCTACAACTCTTATCAAATTGAAAGAACTAAGCACGTTATAAATAATAATAAAGAAATAATAAAACAATGAGAAGGCACCTGAGCAAATATTTACTTTAGATTTCAAGTTAAAAAAAGAAAAGCCTCGAATATCTGAAACTAATACATCACACATAGGATTACATTTAAAAAAAAACAGAGGTTCTTTGAAAAATTAATGAACTTACTCTAAGTTACTTTATATGCAATCAAGAACACTACTCTGATGTTTTCAGCTTAACCTTTGCAACTCCCTGGCAGGAAGCACGGCGCTGCTCGGGCTCAGCCTGCCGGCCCGCCGGCTGCCGGCTCCCCGCAGACGCCGCTGGAAGCGGGTAAGGCCGCCGCTCCTGGAGCGGGGCAGGGCGGCACGGCGAAGCCCGCTCTCGGAGCTATAGACAGCTGCCGGAGGGGTCCCCGCTCGCCCTCCCGCTCGTCTCACCGTCGCTGCATTTGTACTGGCAGAGGCCGTCCTCGCCGCCCAGGAGGTCGAGCGCCGCGTTGAGGTACACGTCGATCTTGTGCACGCCGTTCCGGATGGTTTTCAGCGTCATCCTCCAGTCCGGGGTCTGCGGCGCCTCCTGGCTCCAGGCCGCCGGGGACCGCGGGCCTACCCAGGCACCCGCCATCAGCAGGGGCAGAAGCAGCAGGGCTCGGGCCATGCCCGCCGAGCAGCACCCCGCCCCGCCGGGCGCTCGCTAAGCCACCACCGCGCGGCCGCAACGCCCCGCACGCACGGCCCGGCCCGCCGCCATCGGCCCCACGGGCGCCGCCCCGATGCTGGGCGGGACTGAGGGCAGGCCGTAGCCTGGTGGGGGAGCACGGCTGGAGTCTGTTTGTGGCCCGGCGTCGCCGCGTGGGGTGCTGGGAGCGGAGCTGCTCTGGGGCTTTTCCACGTGCGAGCGATTCGCTTCCAGGTAACGGCACCAAGCGTGCGCGGTGCGGCCGCAATTAGGGCGGTGCAGGAGGACTTCTGTTCAGCGCCGAAAGCCTAGTGTTGCGCTGCTGACTGGTACCCTGTGAGTCCCCTGCTCTAACAGCGCGTTCTGCGCTTCTTAGGCGAGGCAGGGTGGAACCACGCGGGAGTCGTTTTAATTTCTGCAGCGAAAGTCTTGTTTTAAGACGTGTGGAATTCCTGAGAATACAGGCATAGTAGGATTTTAGGACACAGGTAACCGCAGGGGACGGGAAATGTAAAGAACACGGACAGGTGAGATCAAAAATACCTGGTAAATGCTGTTGTGTGTTTGGGCTTTTGTTTGCTTGCTTGTTTTTCCTCTTCAGTCTTTTACGTTCGTTATTGTTAACGAACGTTATTGTTAGACAGAAGAGGGAGCTCTTGCCGCACCTATACTGGAAAGTGCCCGTCCCTGAGGCTGCTGTACGGAAGCCCTCCTTCGGCGGAGCAGTTCCAGGGAAAGGGTGTTGTGCTCACGCACGTTCCTGAACGGAAAGCCTTGGTAGGGGCGGGTAAGGAAAGCAGTCTTTACTCTTGCTTTGCTCGTAGGTGACCGACTTGCCCAATTCATGCTGATGCGACTTTTTTTTTTTTTTTTTTTTTTTTTTTTTTTTTTTTTTTAAACAAGTCAGTGGAGAATGAAGTCAGTGAAAATGTCTAAATGTTGCCTGAAGTACGTAATGGTGAATCATTGAAAACCAAGCTCCAGACCAACCCCCAAACTCACAAAACTTGCACAGAACCCACCCCTTTTCCCCAGTGTCTATGTGAACATATGCTATTGATTTGGTGGGATAGCTGATCGAGAGGAATGAAGCAAAATAGGTCTTTTTTTTCAAACACTTGTAAATTGTAATCTAGCAAAGGGTGTTACAAAACTGTTGCACAGTTCGACAGGACTGAAATGGTCCTGAAGTCATTTGTACCAATACAAAACTACTGGTTTTTAGAAAGGAGCCAGAACTTTCCTAGTGGACTCAGGGCTTACCCTACCTACCAGATCATTCTCTTTGTGGGTAACTTTCTGAATAACTGCATGGCCTAACTTCCTGTGATTGCATAGCACAGGATCAGAGGCCTGTAAGGATGTGTTTTTTCTTTGTGTTACTCATCAAAACATCAACAAATGTCACAATCATGTTCAGTCCATCACATGGTCTGAAGTTCTGTTTCTGGGTAAGCTTAAAGGATCATCCGCCCAGCAAAGCAGCATCCTGAGGGTTTCTAAAGACATACACCCTGATATGATGGAATTGCTTTTCCATTCTCTGGGTGCTGTCCTTTCTGTGACATTCACATATTGGTAGGGTAGTTGGTTTTCTGACCACTTCTTTCAGTATGGTTGTCCATTTAAAATAAACAACTGAAATAACCTACTGAAAGCAGTGTGAAATATAGGGAGAGAGAAAAGAAATAACAGCAACAAAAAGTTGTCCTTGCAGTGAACATGGTTTTATTAGATAATTTTGCTGTGGACTTATATGACTGTAAAACTCTTTTGTGCAGACTTCTGTAAAGCTGTTGTATTTGTGGAGAGCTGAACATTTTCAAACTACGTTATTTCAAGATTTGTACTAATAGTTGCTAAGGTATATGGCTGCTATTGTAAAAATGGACTAGTGTTAATTTCTGCATGGATGATAGCAAGTGTTTAGTTTCCTGAGCTTCAGATATTATATCGTGAAATGAGACTCCGTGTCACATGGTGGCTAATCCAGTCATAATAGCTGGCAACTTGTGTATAGACGCCAGGGTGACCGGCCTCCCCACAGTTTTCACCCCAACTCACAACACCCCAGACATACGCCACGTTTTCTGCATCAAAGCAGACCAGGGGACCTCCTGAATCACCTTTGCAACTGTCAATGGATCCATCATAAGTACCTGTAGCAAGAGAGGGGAAACAACAACAACTCAGAAGTAAGTTTATATGCAAACTAGCACACAAAGTAGAGCTCAGGTGGCATTTTAGATCCATGTCACTTCCAGGCAGGTGCCTGCCTGACAGTCACTAGTACTTGAAGTTCCCAACCTCTTTGATCTACTACTTCTAATTATTTTGAAGTGCAGGCCTCTTTATAATTTTGGCTGGGCCAAAAGCTCATTTTCTTTCACGTCAGGAATGTGATTCTTGTTGTACATTGTGTAACAGCGAAGAATTCAGACGTATCGTATATTATATCATTAGAAGTAGCTTATAAAAAGGGGACAGAAAGTAGAATAAAATGGTAAGATTATTAGACTGATTCCTCTGGAAATTAAGCTATAATATGCATGTTCCTCTACATCTGCTATTGATGTCCTTTCTACCCAGTAATACATTGGCCAGTTTCCTCTGAGCTATGCAGAAGCAGAAACCTCAAAATTTATTTCTCTACAAGCTTTATGGCAAAAGGTGGGCAGGTCCACGGATAGTACATGAATGATGAGATACAAGAGAGTGCAGCTGTGTTTAACTGGAGCCCTTGATAGGGCACTTGAAGTGCAGACCATCTGGAGCACCAGGTGACAGCTCTGAGACACAGCATATGGGCTATGGTGCTGTCTACAAGTTTCTGGGATTTTGAAACTACTTGTGGTTGTAAAAATAATAATAATAATTTCAAAATAAAAGAGGAAAGAATATCATATTGGCAGAAATTTTATGGAGTTGGAATACAATTTATGCTTTGTCCCATAGACTCAGTGGAAGTGTGTAAAGTTGTCTTTCACTCCTTTCTACTTTGTTGATTGACCTAGTATGAAGGAACCCATACTGAGCAAGATTCCCCATGTTTTTAAATATGTAACCTCTTTCTTGAGTCTCTGCATTACTAAGAAAGAGTTTTGTGAGTGTTTCAGGATTGGAAAGACTAATACAACAAAACTAGATTTTGTTGCCCTTACTCAGTTGCATTAACGTTACCTTGTTTCAGTAACTTCAGCAGATACCAGTCCTTAATTCCAAAATTTATATCTGCATTCACATTGTATTGAATTTATTCACAAATGGTTAAGCTCTTATATACAGTTTTGATTTGTCTTGTTATGTAGTTTGTTTAAATCCTGCCTTTACTTCAGAGTTAAAGAACGGTTGAAACTATTTGTCCTGTAAGTTGAAAACTCATTGCTCTTTAAGACATGTGTTTGGCAATACCTTTTGTCACTTGAAAAGCAAAAATGTGTACTCAAAATGCTTATTTTAGCATTAGGAATGACAACCAGTTTCCTGGCCAGACTAATCTTTGTTTGAAAAGTTTATAGTATTTTTCCTGGGGTGTGATTTAGTGGTAGAAAACATCTCAACAGATGAGTAGTCACATGCTAGTCTGCAGGACTGTGAATGTGCTCCAAAAAAGGCATTTGCTTTATTATGTTCCTGAATCAGAATAAAGTAGAGGTAGGAGTAAGTTCAGTGGGCTGTAAAGTGCTTGTGTGTTTAGAAAATGTGACTCCAACTGTGTGCTGAAATTTGCCTACAATCACTGAAACTTGGCATACTGTCACAATAACTGTTTATAATTAGATAGTTAACAGCAGATGACTGTAGGCTCCAGTGGCTAGTGCTTTGCTAATGACAATGTTGTTGCATTTGATTTATTGCATTTTTCAAGTCTAAAAGATTTCCCAGCCAGTATGTCAGACCTTAAAAACTGTGGGCATGATGGTAAGGAAATTATAGTAAGAAAATTCATACTTGCCTGCACATGCCATTTTTTGTAAAAATCGGCCTGGATACATTTCAGAACAATTCTGAAATAAATTAACATTTCCCCATTTGAGCACGTATTGTTTGGTATAACCTAGAAAAGAAAACAATAAACTTTTTCTAAATTTAAACTGATAAATGTGTATGAAACACTTTCAATATCATAAGTTGAATGGTATAGATTTGCTTATTTATTGAATGTAATCTTAAATATTATAAACCAGGTACCTTAATCTGCTGCTAACACTCGCCCCACATCCATTGCCCATATATTTAAAAATAAAAGCAGAGTGGTTAAATTGTATTAAATGCAGTAGTTTCATTTTTTGTGATTTTTACTCCTTTCCTTTGTTATTTTCTTCATTTTTTTTTTTCCCCGTGTTTTCCATACCAGGGTTTCCAGATGCTATACTACTGGGAGACCAGTATATTGTTTTCTGTTAAATGGAGAAATGACTCTGATCATCTTTGTTACCTGTCTTTCTCAGAAAGATGAGAGGACTGGAACTTGCAGATACAAGTGAGCTATGTAGCACAAGGTTAAGAAGAGGCCCTATTTTGGTCTATGTTTGGTGGTAATTCTCAACTTTGTATTTTGTTTATGGACTGCTAGTGCTCTTATGCCTGGCTGCAGTCATTCTGTGATATAAACCAACTGCTTCCGAAGGCTTTGAAAGCGTGACTGCATTGGACCTAACCTTCATTGTGTTGAACCTATGCATGGTTGAGATGAGATGTGCTGAGCTTCGTAACTCCTGATTGCATCTCAGATCCATTTGGGCAGGGCACAGAGGTCTGGCTGTGACCATGGGCTGAGTGTTAAATACTGTTACCAGGTTTGCATAGATAAACCTAAGATAAATATGAGACTGGTGATTACAGTTGCTTCTCCTGGATGCCTCAGAGGTACTAAACAGCTCTTGTCTTTTTTGAGAAGCATGTACAGGTGCAGCACAACAAATAGTTTTTTGCTTATGCATACGTTGTCTGAATGCTGCCATCTCACTCCTGCTGTCTCATTCCTGCTCTCTCGCTGCACCGTGCTGACACAA